ACCAAAAACACTTGACTGTATTATACAGTATAATTAATATATCAATTAAATAATCCATCTAGCTGCCTTTCCATGTTTTTGAGGCAAAGTTTGCAAACTTAAACGCAAAGTGAAACAAGCATTCCAATTTCTGCTCATCTATTCACCAGACTATTTCAGGATTTTAATGAACTCTTTTAAATAATTTGAACAGTACCAAAGGCATTGGATATTTACCAATGAATGTGAGAAAAATGTAAGTTGCTCACTGTAGCATTCTTCTAAAATCTGTGATCCTTCAGATTAATTAATTAGTTTTACTTCCATCAGAAAATGTTCAGACGCAGGCTAGAGCTGCAACTAATGATTATTTTCTGTCACTTTTGCTTTTATCACAATATATATACTGTAAACAAAGTGTTGGTTTGATCCTTAGATCCTAGACCCACACTGTAGTTCTAACTCTGACCCACCGGCCTGTAGCTCGCTGTGCATGGTGTGCACCCTGAATTAAATATTTCCTTTGTGTGATGTGGGAATGGGACTTTTTGTGATGTGTTGCATGTCAGAACTTATCATCCTGAATGTTTTTGGTGCATTTTAGGAAATATACAGCAAAATCCTAAACTTGGAGAAGTACCAAGATCGTCTGAGAACCAAGGGACTCTTCGTAAAGGACGCCAAGCAGATGTAAGTAGAAAAACATGGTTTTAACACCTCAGATAATGTGTGAACGCTGTCCCTGAGAAGTGAAAAAGCTATTATGCACTACTCTTAACTAATTACGATGAAAGATCACGTACTAGGAGCTGTGTTTCTAATGTTGAGATTTGATCGTCACATGATGGAGTGTTTCTTGTAGTAGTTGTCCAAAGGCTTTAAAACCGCTACAGATAGAGGCTGTTTGACAGCCCAGAAAATGACCACAAGCACTGACTGCACAGGTCAGTCCTCTTCAGTACTTACACCTTTGATTTTGGACTCCGTCTGTCTCCGTCAGCTCTCTCAGCTCAAGCAGATGGCGCACAAAGGACGAACTGCAAGTGTTGCTGGTCGAGACCATCTCCGATTATGACGTAAGAAATCTCTTCTCCTCATCTGTCACATGTTTTTAAAATAATGAGTTAAGAAGTTTCCTGACATAATTACAGACCTACTGTGGATGATCTCGGGAGCGGTTGAACGTGACTTACACACCTTATTATGTGTTTTCTTCAGTACAAACGCTTCATCCAGGTGATGGAGCGCCTGCTGTCCAGCCTACTGGCAGCATAAGAGGAAGGAGTTTGTACCTCAGAAGGTAGAAATGTTTCTTCGCCAAATTGGACATTTTTAACATTACGTTTGGTTTGACAAACGTCTCCATAAATGTCACATTAAACACATTCACGTCCCCCCCTTCTGTTGAATATAATGTGTGATGAGAAAATGGAGATAAAGGTGGGTTTTTTTTGTTTTTTTTCCTTCTCAGGTCGGAGAAAGTCGTCCATTTCCTCTGTGATTCTCCGAGACTGCGGCTCCGGACGCATCACCATCAACGGCCTGGGATACCTGGACTACTTCCCCGCACTACAAGACAGGTAGGAGAGCTGTGCCAGCGTCGGACAAATAAACCTTTTTCTCTGCAGCTTTCATTCATAGATACCGTTTCCCTTTAAAATGCAAGACGTAATGTGTTTGACTCCCCCGCTCCAAAAAAAAAAAAAA